AGCAAGTTGCTTGACCTAAGCGGTTTATTTCTTTTGAAGAAATGTATATGTAAATACATATGTATAATATTTTTCATACGAACTTTTATGATTTCAAGGCAACGTAAATACGACGCCTTTAAATAAATATTTTTGAAATATTATTTTTTTTGAAGGGTGGATTCTAAGGGCCTGTTTCAACTATGTATGTCAAATTCAATGGCATTTGTATTCAATATTAAAAAATCTGTATATTTATTGATTGATTTAGTTTAGAATAAGTCATTCGTCGTTTACATGAGCTGCTAAAGAGGCTGTATGTTAGTTTTTGGTCACAATAATATCGGTAGGTCGGTAGGCAGCCGCTGTGGCGTAGTGGTTAGCAGTGCGCGCTTCCATTCCGCAGGGCCTGTATTCAAGCCCGGTTCAACTCAAAATCAGAAAATAAAAAACACAAAAGGTTTTTTTTTCTAATAGGGGTCGCCTCGGAGTCGGCGTAAAACTGTTGGTCAATCCTCTTTGTGTGACAACATCAAGGCGCACGCCAGAAGAAGGAGGATAAGCTAGGCCAAACACTAACATATGTGCATATGTATAAGCACCAGTCTATTATTATAATTACCCGTTACCTCGCGGATGAGGGAGAAGAAAGTTGTGTCACAAGATGACAAATGAAAACCAGCCTTAAGGCAAGAAGTGGTGCTCGTAAGGTGATTTATTCTACCTATGTACTTACAGTCAATCAATAAAGTTTAGGTACAACGAGTTTTTTTGCAATACGGGCAACTTTTGTTTAAATATTTTATTTGTCGCTAATTTTTTATAAAAACATGATTAATTCTACAACGAAAAACCAAACATCAGAGTTCCAAACCTTATGCAAAATTTAGAAAATTCTGCAAATTTTCATTAAAATAATGCACTTTTTCATTACACTCTTTAGAAAAAAAGTTTAGTGTGCAGTTTTTAAGCGCATTCAATTCTGAGGTAGCTAGGACTTACCATTTATTTTTGGCAAATTTATTTGTTGAAGGTGTCGCTCTGGAGAAACGGAAAAAATGAAACTATAAAAATTACCGAAAGTCATTTTCATTCAGCTTAAATAGATTAAGTGTCATTTTCTCACGTAGCTTTTAAAATTTATCTGCCCTTCAAACACATTTTTTTGGAACAAAATTTGTTTTTAAACAGATTGGAACTTCCATTTGATACCCATATTATGGTATTAAGTAAGCTTAAATTTTTGTTGTATTTTTTAAAAAAGTGGCAACCCCATAAAAAATGTTTTAAATCTCTTCAAACGCTTTAAGGTTTGATGAAGAAACTTAACTATCTTATTGAGCGTTTAAGCAATTTAAAATTTTCCCATATCTGGCAACTCTATTTTTCAAAATTTTTACCTACACAAAATTAGCACCTCCAATGTGTGATGTGGTTATGAAAACATAAAATAACTAGTTTTTGTATATAACAGATAGGATTATCGGTTATTAAAATACACTTAGTAAAATTTTTAAGTTAAATAAGCATCATAGTGTTATTTTTTGAAGATTTCTGAAAGGAAATGGTCTTATTCGATCAAAAAATAATTATATTTAAAGATTTTTTTTTTAACAATTCTATGAAAAAATTTATTTTTCCCATGTAAAATATTATTTTTGGACCACCCTAATGTGATATATGCACTTGTGGTCAGCTGATTATGTTAAGTAACATTTTGACCATTTTTGGTTATTTTTCCTTTTAATTATTTAATTTTAATAATTTNCACTTGTGGTCAGCTGATTATGTTAAGTAACATTTTGACCATTTTTGGTTATTTTTCCTTTTAATTATTTAATTTTAATAATTTTTTTTTTTATAAAAGACTGGCACATTACGTAACCAGCGCCACATAAATCCACATTTGAAACTTCGTACAAAAATCATAAAAATTCAAAACACTTTAACAATTACACTAAAAAAATTTTTAACTTTTTATTAAAAATTTTCAGAAAAATTTTAGGTAAACAGTTTCATAGCCCATTAAATTTGAGTAGGTTAAAGTGCTAGAATATCGCATTGATTTTTAATTGATATTTTTTTTTTTGCTGGCAGTGCTATGCATTTTCTTCCATATAAAAGTAATTGTCGAGCATACTTTTTATGAAAGAAAATGCATTTTAATAAAATGTTTAAAATTGTTGGGTGTGATTGTTGAAGTTTGTTTAATTTTTGTACCAAGTTTGAAATGTGGATTTATGTGGCGCTGGTTATGTAATGTGCCAGACTTGTATGGAAAAATTATAAACATTAAATAGACAAAAGAAAACTAGCCAAAACTGATCAAAATGTCATTTAACTTAATCGGCTGACCACAAGGGTATGTATAATATTAGTAGACACTTCCCCAACATCTGAGCGCGAACTTTTCATAAAAATCAGTTTGCTTCCAAGAGATGGTATATTTTAGGGAAACCCCTAAATCACATCATAAATACGAATAAAATATTTTGGCCTCAATTTTACGTTGTCCTAAACAAAAAAATCAACAGCTACTTAAGTGCAGCATAATTTTTGTAAAGCTAAAGTGGAATTGTGTGTCGCAATCAAAATGTGTCTAAATTTATTATGATTACCGTAATTTCGTTCACACGCCAGAAAATTGTACATATTTCATGCCATGATTGCACCTTCCACTACATACAAACATGCAATTACAAACATACATATGATGTATATGTATGCCCCATTCATAAACTCATACTTTTGTCACTTCATGTCACAAATACATACATACATATGTCTTATTAATCATTATTATCAATTGTTGTTATTCCCCATAATACGGAAGTATGTATTTTAATGTTTATGCATCCACGCTTTCTTCTCTTGATTTCAGCGCATATTTGCTACACTTACTCACGTTAATCACTTTAATCGGTGGATCGATGTGCAATGATTTGCTTATCGCTCATGCTGATACAACGATAACAAAAACAACAACAACAACACCGGTACCGGCAATGATCCCGACTTCAGCAATCACAACAATTACCTTATTGACGAAGAGCTCACCCTATATCGCATCCTCGTCAGCGCTGTCCAATCACACCAATGACATTTCCAATTCAATTATGCTGTCGAGCTCTTCAGCTACCTCTTCGAAAGAAAGATCTAAGCCTATGATACCACATCCACCGCCAGCCTTAAAGTCAAGTGGTAAGCTGTTCAACAAAGGTTTGCCAAAGCGACGTAAGGCTGGTGAAATATCCGCCATTCCCGTCTATGATCCGACCATTGAATGGAAGTGTCCGAATGTGACGAGCTCGCGCAGCTTGGAATGCGGCTGCGATTTGCCACATACGCTACGCTGTACCGGTGATTTGCATGGCCTAACGGTAATGAACGCTACAAATTGTTGTACTCTCAAAATGTTTTACTACTTTTTTAATATTTCACTGTACTCATATTGCAGGTACTCGCAAGTAATCTGCGAGAGTCACCCTATACCATCTCACTGTTGGACTGTTCGTTGCGGAATGTAACCTTCTTGAGTGATGCAAAGATTTTTGAGGGTATTTCCTTGTATGGTCTTGTAATTTCATCGGGCGAGATAAAACGCGTACATAAATCAGCGTTTTTGGGTATAAAAGGGCCATTGCAAGCTTTGGGTATGTGCCAGCTATCGCCATATTTTTTTCATACTCTTCAGCCAATTGTGCTTTCTCTCAAACTAATCTAAATTTCTTTTCACCACTGTAGGCCTTCCAGCCAATGCGCTTTTAAGTGTGCCATGGAACTCGATATCCACACTAACCGCGCTCGAGCGCTTGGATCTGTCTAATAACAAAATAAAAGCTTTGGGCACCTCAGACTTCGCCGGCCTCTCAAATCTCGTCTATCTTGAGCTAAGCAATAATCAAATATCCAGCATATCACAGCGTACATTTATGAACTTGCGCAAGTTGGAAGTGCTGAAGTTAGGTGGCAATCGCCTGGGCGATTATCCAACCAGTCTAAAAGCGCTTACGGCCTGCTATAATTTACGGTACTATCGCTAATTGTTTGTCTCTACCTATACAAATTATGTATTTAACACAACCTAACTGTTTTTATTTATTATTTTTCAAATAGCCAACTTGATCTATCAGCCAACAACCTCAATGGTCCACTTACTGCCACCACCTTGCCCGGNCCTTAACTGCTTTTATTTATTTTTTTCAAATAGCCAACTTGACCTATCAGCCAACAACCTCAATGGTCCACTTACTGCCACCACCTTGCCCGGTTTGAGAAATCTAGAATCGCTGGAACTGAATCGCAATCTCATCAAGAGCATACAAAATAAAGCTTTGCAAAATTTCTCCGGCCTTACCAGCCTCTCACTGCGTCACAATCAAATCGATGTGCTACAAGATCACGCCTTCTACGGTCTGGGTGCACTTGAAAATCTCGATTTAAGCTTCAATGGCATTGTTGCCATCTCCAGCGCATCATTGCAACATCTTACACGACTCATAACACTCGATCTCACACATAACTTCTTGCGTGCCTTGACATCTGATTTGATTACCCCATTACCATCACTGCAAGTGCTACGCTTGGCAGGCAATGATATCTCGATTGTAGCCAAGAATGCATTGGATGGTGCACGCGAATTAAAGAGCCTATCCATGCAGGACAATCCCTTGTCGTGTGACTGCACCATACGCTCGTTTGCCGAATGGTTGCAGGTCGCAAAGATACAGTCGAGCGATTTGATGAGCGCAACTTGCGTAACACCTCCCCGGTTGGAGGGTGCGCCTCTTATACAAGTACCATTGGAGACTTTGAATTGTGAAATGGATAATGTGGAGAAGGATAACGCTAACATAATCGAACAATTAGAAGCTATAACGAGACAAAATCATACGACGCACATAAAGGACCTATCGGAGGAGGTAAGTTATGGGAGCTTAGATTTGGAAATTGGCTCTAACTTGTGTTTACTTTTCTAGATCGTATTGCATGAACTACATTTCTCAGCCGATTATGGACTGATACTCACCTGGATACTTAACCTGAGCAAAAACGATTATATGTGCGATGCAATCTTTGTCTACAAAGAGGAGAATATCAATGAAATATTAATCGATAACTCACCGGTAAGTTTGGAAGCGAAAAGAAACGTACCAAATATAGTACTTGTACAGCGTGTCCTAGACCACCCGTTCACCCATCTAAAATGGAGGAGAAGGTTTTTTTATTGAAAACCCCTAAAATATGGCTCATCAAATCAGGAATGTTCTATCTTTTGGTGGTATTGCCGACTTCTGGTTTCTACCGGAAGTGGGTTAAACTCTCCGGAAGTCCTCTTTTAAGTATCAAAATACGTAACTTTTCTTTGAAACTATTTGCTCTCGAATTTTCTTTTTTCAATCTCTAAATTACCTCCGAGCTTCAACTCGTCCTGGACTTCTGAAATGAGTGAAAATGTTCTTATTGGAAAACAAAAAATATGAGTTACCTACTCGAGGATGCTCTATCTTTCGGTCGTATTACCGACTGCCAGTTTAGACCGGAAGTGGGTTAAACAGGCCGGAAGAGTGTTGCCCGGTCCGCAACCAGCGATGTGTTGAGGGATGAACAACTATGGACAAACCGTAGATATCACCGACGGCCCATAGGAACATCTAGCGTACAGGATAAGATTCATCAATAATTCTCATAGGCTTGCAGATGAGTAATGATCCCCCAAGCTAACCTGTTTTTCCTATCATTTTTATGATACAAATGAATTATCCTAAAAACTGTACCAGCGGTTTTCAGTTTGGCCGCCCATGATTAGAATTATGGCCTCAAAGGGCGAATGAGGGCATTGCACGCGGCCCGCAAGTGGCTGTGCGTTATTTCGGCCCACTCTCGGGGAAGCGCTTGTTTAAGAAACTCGACACTCTGCAGTTGACTTGTTTAATTGTGCGAAATGGTTGTAGTTTTATGTACAAATATTCTTTTATTTTCGATTTTGCACGTATTCAACCCTTAAAGTTTACTACATACATACATACATATGTATATGTGTTCATAAATATCCCTCAAACTTGCAAAATTCTAAAATTGGAAAAAAATTGTGAAATATTTTTTTGTTTAGTTAACCAAAGCCTCGGAAAAAAAAGAGTTTGCTAATTTCCCGTTAATTCAACTTTGAGCTTCCCAGTTAGAGGGATATAGTTATGTACTAATCAAACACAAATATTTATTTTCAGATTCATTGTGAAAGCAAGGTGTTAAATGGGCAAAATACGGTCAGTGTAATTGTGCCAGACAGCTCTTCTTTGGAAATTGGCGAAAGGTAATTCATATGTGCATATGTATATTTGTTTATAATCAGTGGCGTAGCTACGGGGGATTAAGGGGGCCGCTGCCCCGAGCACAAAACTTTGAGGGCGGATCGTTTTTCATTTAGACAAAAAAAATACAATGTTATTATTAATTCTTTTAATTATTAATATATAAGGAGGTAATTTACAAAAACCTAAAATTTTTTGAAATTTTTTTATAAACGAATAATGGTCGTCATAGGTTTTAAAATTCATCTTCCACTCAAACCAGGCACCGAAAATAAGCATTAAATATCAAGATTTTTATTTTCAGATCACTGCAAAATAGTTATTTTGATGCTTATTTTTAAACCAAAAATAATCGCTGAATTTGGATTTTTAGTTTGACGGTAAAAAAAAATAATCCTTAATTTTGGATGTCTATTTTTTTCAAATATTTTTAATCTTTATAGTGACCGTTTATGACCGTTTTAAATCCCTTATGATCTAAAAAAATAAGTCTAAAAATAACGGTTATGAGATGATCGAAAAAATAAAAATCCAATAATAACGATTACTTTTTGATCGAAAAAAAAATTTTGAATATTATTGAAAAAAGTTTCTTTTTCCAAGTTAACTTGAATAAAATTCTATCTGACGTCAGGATTTTTGAAGGACTTTGAAGTTTCAAAGATGTGATTAATTCAATAGAATATTTAAAAAAAAAATTAGCGTAATGTATAATAATATTATAGGTATAAAAATATAATGGGAAATTCGGTGGAATTGAAAAAGATTATTTTTTTAAGTGCACAAGAGTGAATAAGTAGGTACTGAATGCCCTTTTAAAATTGCATTCTTGAATTTCCCACTCCTAGCTTTATTAGCTTAAATAATAAAATTCTTTAAAAAAGCGTTTAGAATACCTATTCCTCCTTGTGGTTCAAAAAAATTCTACATTGCACTGAATTTTTTAAATAATTTTTTGAATAAATCATATTTTTGAAATTTCGAAGTCCTTCCAAAAAATCCTGAAAGTAGTTTTTTCGTATGTTTTAAATTTTTTTTTTGGTTCTTGTCGCACGGTGTAAGAAATATGAGGAACTTTACCTTAAATAATTTTATTTATGTAATAACTTTCCTTTCAACTTTTTACTTCTTACTCGCTACAGTTACCGCTTCTGTCTGGTTATGGTACAAGAGGAAAATCACGATGCCGACTTGAATGTTGGCTGCTCAAATATCACCAAGCTTCAGCTTAGCACGCCTGGTTCCGTACCAGAGGTGCGCCAATATCAAAGACGTCCATATAAAGCTGAGTTGTCCACTTATCGTGACGCCGAAACGAGCTATGCGCCCATTGTAGCACAGACAATCGATGAACATCTCACGAATTCTAAACGAAATTATAACGCAATTTTCGAAGAAGCAAGTCAATCACAACAAACCACCCAACCACACACATATAACTTTGTAGAGTCGCTGAATAAGAGCTTCCTGCCCGGTCTTGGCGTTGGTATATTGGTAACCTCGGTGGTCGTGCTCATTTGGGGTGCAATGCGGATACGACAAAACTCGAATAATAGCCGACCTAGCNACAATTTTCGAAGAAGCAAGTCAATCACAACAAACTACCCAACCACACACATATAACTTTGTAGAGTCGCTGAATAAGAGCTTCCTGCCCGGTCTTGGCGTTGGTATATTGGTAACCTCGGTGGTCGTACTCGTTTGGGGTGCAATGCGGATACGACAAAACTCGAATAATAGCCGACCTAGCACGCCTACCGCCACCACCTGCTATGCCGCTTCAGAGCATATAGCACGCCTCGCAGATACAGAGAATGGCACGCGATATTTAAAACTGCAAGCTACAACAAGTCTTTGAGGAGTATAAATTATTGGACATACATACATACATACATACATGTGTATGTATGTAGATAGATTGCCAGCTCCACCACCCGAATTGTTCAACAAAGTCGAGTCAGTCTTCATTGAATACCACAAACATACTAAATATTTAGGTATTAAATGAACAGAAAATCTTGTGAGTTGCTACACACAGTCGGCAACTCTTGTGATAGTACTTTGTACCAATGCATTAAAATATATTGTCTTTTTTTTATTCGATTTTCTAGTGGTAACGTTAACACTATAGCACCTAAGCCAAATATTAAAAAATTGTTAATTCATATTTTTCTAACTGAGAATGACTAGTTTTAAGACCTTTTCGATATTTCAAACTATTTCATTATGCAAAAATCTTGGTTGTTTAAGAAGCACCGTAAGTGCACAGTTAGCACAGCTGTGCGTATTGTGCGGTTTTTTTTTATTCCTTGTGCCATAGTTGAACACTTCCTGTACTCACATATNATTCGATTTTCTAGTGGTAACGTTAACACTATAGCACCTAAGCCAAATATTAAAAAATTGTTAATTCATTTTTTCTAACTAAGAATGACTAGTTTTAAGACCTTTCGATATTTCAAACTATTTCCTTATGCAAAAATCTTGGTTGTTTAAGAAGCACCGTAAGTGTACAGTTAGCACAGCTGTGCGTATTGTGCGTTTTTTTTTTTATTCCTTGTGCCATAGTTGAACACTTCCTGTACTCACATATTAATTTAGTTATCTAAGTTAGTTAACAGTTCACTTTCACCACTTCTTTCGCACCTAATGTTTTACGGTTAAGTTTACTTTTGCATTGATTAGCAAACACATACATAAGTAGATACTTATTCATATGCAAATTAACTAATTTATTAACAACTATAACTAATTGTTAACACGTAAATAAAAAAAACGATTTATTTATTAAAAGAAAATAATTGTACTTATTTTTAGGATGCGATGTGCTTAGAAAATTCCACTTGGATCTGAGGTGTGACTGCCGCTTTACCATTATACTACATACATATATACATATATGAAATTTTCACTTGTATGGGATAAACCAAGTAGTACCTCCAACTTTTCTATGTGAGTATGGGATTGCTTTCATAAATCTCCATACCAAACTCCAGTACTCTTAACACAAATATGTATTTCCTGAGATAAGCAGCCAATTCTAATTCGACAGTTACCTTTAATGTTAGGATTTATTTATCGGCACGTCAAAGAAAAGCATCAGAGAATACTGAAGGCTTTTAAAGTCAAATGAAAGCTCTGCGGGAAATATAATGGGACTACTGACAGAAAAACATTTTCCACTTTTCCGCAGCCAGTAATAATTTTTGCTTCAACCTTATGGGTCATCACTTTCTTTACTACTAATCTTGTTTCATTATTAACGTATAGGGCCAATCGCCAAGCAAGTGTCTTCCTCATAGCCGCTCCTGCAGTTGTCATTGTGGCGGACTCCGAGTCGTTCCGCATGTCTTCCTTTTAGACTATGCCCTATGAGTAGCCCCACGGCCAAGGACATTGATCTTGATCTCCTTATGTTCCATTCAGGCCACATAAGTTGCGTTGTATTGCAGGTATCAGTACGTTTGCATCGGATACACGCTTTTTTACGGAAATATTTCTATCCTCTTCTAGGATGATGAAAGTGGCATGGAAGTACCGCCTCATACATGCTCGTCTGACTTCTGAGTTCCTGGCATGTCACTGTGTCGCGACACCCATACCAGAAGCAAAACCAACTGCTCTACCAACACCACGTTAAGTGGTTTGCGGGAGTTGGCAACTTTTTTCCAGTTTATACCCCGTCGGAAATTCAATTAATTTGAAAGCAATTTAAAAAGTACTTTTTTACCAACCACAAGTAGTTTGAATTCTTCCTTTTGTCTTGTAAGCAACTAACTTTATTAACAAGGCGATGTCCTAAAACCAAGCTTATTATCCGATGCTGCATATGTTCCAACTACTTTAAATTCATAAACTGCACAAATAGTTTGTTTCCAACTACTTTGTCAATTGATTAATTTCTGAGACAAGTCAGTTATTTCCGACAGGGTAGTGACAGAGTTTAGTTTCATATATGCACATTAGGGCGGGTTAATATATATGGTACATTTTTTCGACTGTGCGCGTATAACACATAGGAATTCTACCTGAAATTCTAAGATAATTTTCCAAATTGCGAAAATAGGTTTCTTAGCAGTTGGCTGTAGTGTCGTAGAGAGTGCTTAAATTTTGTATAAAAACATGATATAGGGGGCTTTTAGTAGAAGGAAAACATTTCTGCACTTATCTTTTTCTCAAACTTCCACTAAAGGGCGCAACAGTGAGAATTTTCACATTTTCTTCGAAACCTAATTTTCGCAATTTGGCAAACTGCAAATTGATTTTTTTCTTCTGAAAATTTGCTTAGAATTACGTGTGGAATCCTCCTATGCTAAACGCGCAAAGTAAAAAAAAAATATACACCCGCCCTAATGTACATATTTTAGTAGGAGTGACAACAGCTAATTTTAAGCTATCAACAGCTTCTTGAATGGCCGCCAATTCTGCTTGAAAGGCACGACAATGGTCAGGTAGACAGAAAGACAGTTGTATTCCCAATTTTTCCGAGTAGATGCCTCCTCCTACACTGTTTTCCAACTTGGAGCCGTCCGTGTAGAATCTTATGGCAACTTCAAATCCTAAAACTCCTTCGATCCACGATTCTGTGCTTGTTATAGCTAAGCTATACCATTTAGTATTGGTACACAGTAGCTGGTAGTGTTCGGTAATTGCCGGTTAATGAGAATTGTAGTGTGATCGCATCCATAATATCTAATTTCTCTTCATAGTTGCTTTATTCCCTAGTGCTAGTCGCTCCTCTGCAGATATAAAGGGCAATGGTGGCCATCCGCACCCAGCTAAATTTTTTTCTCAAGGACTTCTTGTGAACAGTACAAGTTCTGTTTTGCTTGGGTTTACATCTAAACCATTATTTTTAGTCCAACTCCGTACGTCCTTCAATTTTGCCAGTGTGATGTCACATTGAAAATTTACCTCTTACTGTGCGTGTGCATATTCACATACAAAAATAATATATTTTTTTTTGTAACCTTTTTAGAGTGTCATATCCAAAATTGTTTAGTATTTACATACGTAGGAGTTTAAATTATGCGTAGGAGGGTCCTGTACGAATAACAAAGTAGCATCGACTTTTCATGCAAACATAAGCAATTACGCCTATGAAGCATTTCGTTGACGTTATTGCCATTACGTCATCAAAAACTTAAAATTGAATTGTTACGTCATTCATAAGCAATGTATACCTATAATATCCTGTGAACTACTTTTGTTATTCATACATACATATTGTATTATGTATGTAATAGTGCTACAAAATATAATGATAATATCGACGGTTTATTAGAGTGGCCCGTTAAATAGAAAAGGGTTACACAAATATTATTTTGTTGACACATGGGCCATTCCATTGTGACTAGTGGGACATTTTACTCCAGAATTTAATCAATTGCGAATTTTAACTATATCGTCGGAGCTTATAAACAGCGAAAGATTTTTTTAACATAGAACGATAACTAATGTATAAACTTGCCATAACAGAAATGCCAAACGATTTCTTAGTTTTATGTAACTATCATTTGAATGACTGGTGGCACATTGAAAAGAACTCTATTTTACCTTTGTGCACTCAAAGATGAATTTTAGCCAAAACACTTAATTTTCACGCACGATATATTTGTGTTGTAAAATATAAATTAAACGCTTTCGTTTTCAATAAAAATTAGGTTTATATAATCTTCATACAAATATTAAAAAATATTTAAAATTGTGACTAGTGGGACATCTCCTTGTGACTGGTGTAAAGTAATTATGCATGAAAAAAAGTTTCCATAGACAAAAATTACAACTTCTTTTAATTTTTTTAATATTTTCTCACAGGTTAATGAAATGTAGTCTTTTAAAAAGAGGTTACTACTGAAATAGAGATAATTAGGGCATATTTAAATTTATGTCGTTTTCCTCTTTACAATGGAATGACCCATATATTATATTGAACGAATTTAGAAGCTAAAAAAATACAACTTTTCCTTTATTTTCAAACTAATCGTTCATTTTCATTTCCACTAAGCCTTAGCTGCAGTTTATGCCTATTGAAAAAGGGAGATAACAACTTGAAGGGTGTAATTGCTCATGTTAAGCATAAGAAAACCAAAGTAATAAGTAAGAAGTAAACCCCACCGATCACCCCATGTATAAATTCTTTCTACTTACCTGACCTCTTAAGCTTTTGGTGAAAATAGGCTGTAAGTGGGGGCTATCACAGAAAATGCGATTACCGAATCCGAGTTGCTACGAACGTGTGCATTCAAAGTAGTGTTGGAAAGTATCGAGTACTTTTGAGGATCGAGTTCTTTGGTATTGATACTTTTAAGGATCGGGTATTTTACAGAGTACTGAGTACTTTCTTTAAATATACACATGTTGGCAACATTTCAATACTTAGTGTAGAAATCTCACAAGCTGGCAGTATTTTATTACAATTAACATATGAATCCCAAATTAGGTCAAATAAATGGCTAACTGTACTGGGTACAAGTATTGTACTTGAAAATTATTCAAACTGCAAGTTGAGTAAAATCATTTCTGAATACCGTTAAATGTAAATAAAACTCAGTACTTATTAAGTATACTCGACACTTAATACTGAGTACTTTAAATCGATCCTGAGTACATGTATTTAAGCGATTATTGGAACAGAGTACTTTTGAGTACTGAGTACTTTCGAGTTCTTTTAAGTTCTGAGTACTTTCGAGTTCTTTTGTGAGAACTGAGTTCTTTGGAGTACTCAGTATCAATACTTTTAAAAATCGGTTGCTGTCGATCCTTTTGGGAATCGAGTTCTGAGTACTATTGGTATCCATACCCATGTGCATTACTAACTCGAAGTATACGCTACATTCGTAGCTATTCGGATTCAGTGATGGCATTTTTGAAGATTTCGCGAAAAATCGGACTACAATGGATTCTGTAATAGTCCTGGTAAGTATTAGAAAATTCAAAATAAAACAAGTTTTAAGAAAGTTCAAACCAAAGCAGTGTATTTATTTAATTTTCTTAAACTAATAAAAAATTTCGTGACAACCATTTTCTTTTCGCAGGTTAACGTGTATGGAAAAGGAACTTTAAGCTTTAACCGCTGTCAAAATTAAAATTCACAAAGGCATATGGAATGGCTCATTATTGTGGCGGCAGTGTTTTTACCGCCGTTATTTTTCGGTTTATTTAAATTTATTTCTATTTTTACCGCCCAGCGGGGACGGCACAATGTTGATTGAAAGTTAATTGTAGTAATTTTTGTTATTTTCACAAGTTTGGAAATGTTTTCTTCCATTTTTATTTCCAACAAATCTACATACACGCACGTACCGAAAAAATATTTAATTTTAATGATAATTT